ATTTCTCCCTCACTTTTGAAGAAGTTTTGCTGGGTATAAGATTTTTTTTTTTTTTGGCTGAGGTGGGTCTTAGTCGCAGCATGTGGGATCTAGTTCCCTAACCAGGGATTGAACCACTCATGGGGAGTGTGGAATCTTAGCCACAGGACCACCTGAGAAGTCCCTGAATAGAAGATTCTTAATGGTTTTTTCCTTTCTCCACCAGCCAGCTGCTTTCTGGAATCCAAGTTTATCATGAGTAATCTCCTTATAATCATATTGAGGATCCCTGTTTTCAGTAGTTTTTCTTTGTCTTTTGAAAATTTGATTATAATATAACCAATGTGGCCTCATCTTACATGGAGGCTGTTGAGTGTCTCACATGTTTATGTTCGTGTCTTTCATCAAATTTGGGAAGATTTCAGCCATTATTCAAGTATTTTTCTGTACTCCCTTCTCTCTCCTTTTGGGTCCCAAATGTATATTTTGGTCTGCTTGTCGGTGTCTCACAGGTCTCATACCCTGTCTACTTTTTCAGTCTTTTTTACTTTCTGTTCCTAAGACATGATAACTTCACTGTCCTAGCCTCACACTCACTGTTTTCTTTCATCTTCTTGTTCAAATCTGCCTTTGAATTCCTCTAGCAAGTTTTTCATTTCAGTTATACTTTTCAGTCCTGGTGGCTTAGATGGTAAAGAATTTGCCTGCAAAGAAGGAAGGTCTTGCCTGCGGAAGACCTGAGTTGGGACAGTCCCTTGGAGAAGGAAATGACAACTCACTCCAGTATTCTTGCCTGGAGAATCCTATGGACAGAGGAGCTTAGTGGGCTACATATAGTCTGGGATCTCAAAGAGTTAGACATGACTGAGCTGCTAACACAGACATTATACTTATCAGCTCCAGAATTTTTTGTTGGTTTTTATTTGTTCTCTATTGATGTTTTGCTCTTTTGTCATTTTCTTACCTTTCTGCACACCTTTCTTTATCGAGCATTTCTAAGACAGGCATTTTAAAGGTTTTTTCCCTAGTATATCTGCCATCAGGTCTTTTTCAGGGACAGTTTTTGCTGATTTTTTTTTCCCCTTTGAATGGGCCATACGTTTCCTGTTCATTTGTATAAGTTTTTTTTTTTTTTTCTTTTTCTTCCTGAAAACTGAACATTTAAATCTAACGTGGTAACTCTGGAAATCAGATTTTGCCAGGAACAAGTGCACCACTGCCTGCCATGTGGCTGGGAATGGGGGGGAAGGGTAACTGCCTCTGTGCTAAGAGCTGAAATTAACCATAGTGTATTGTCCAAGCCTTCCTTCTCCTGGAAGTTGCAAGCCTTCAGTAGATTGCAGACTTCCAAAATGGTTCCTTCAAACAAATTCCACCCATTCAGTTTTTGTCTAGGTGGGGAGGTAGATTTCCTAAATGCATTCTACTTTGCCATCTTCCCATGGTCTTTTGTCCCTGCTTGTGTTTTTTGGTATTTTGACTGGTATACCCTCAGGGAGAGATCCTAGAAATGGGATTGCAGGATTAGTCAATACACGTGTAATCTAGTTAGATATTCTGAAATTAACCTCTGTAGAGGTTGTACAGTTTAGTACTCCTCCTGGCAATGTGTGAAAGTACCTGTTTCTCCACAGCCTGTCCAAGAATGAGTGCCAGTCTTGTGTTCTTGCCTGTCTGGGATGAGTAATGATATTTTAGAATAGAGATATAAAGCCCAAGGAGAGAAAACAGTCTGTACAAAGAATACCTGGATTTTTAATTAAAAAACAGTGAATTAAACACATATTTCTCTCTTCCCTCCTCAGTCCACTAAAATGAGAGTAAAGAAATAAGCAGAACTTCTTAAGAGGAAAGTGCTTCTTACATTCTGACACTGGTTTTCATTTGTTAAAGGGTTGGTTGCTTATCTTTCTTTTTGGTGAGATGTCTGTTTAAAATTTTTGCCCATTTTTCTAACAGGTGTTTGGTTTTCCTCATTTTTAAAGAGTTCTTTGTGTATTAAGGATATTGTCCTTTTGTGATAACGGTTGTAAATATTTCATTAGCCTTTTGAAATTGATTCTGCTGTGTTTTTAACTGTGCAGTTTTTTTTTGTTGTTGTTGTTTTGTTCTTTGGTATTGCATTATGTTTATGAGAACAAAACCTGAAAAGCTGTTTGGAAGCTTTATATGTAAGACTTGACCTTATCAACAGACAAGGATCTTGATGTTTCATTCTGTGGAATTTCTGATTTAAGAGAAGAAGCTACCAATTTTTTTTGGTAGGGATAGGGAAAAGGAGATTGGTAGGAAGGGCCCTTTTCTGTACATAGATATTTATTTATTCATTCCCTTGTTTTCTTTCCTTCTCCTTGCTGTACCTGGTATCCTCAAACCCCTTGTTTTCTTTCCTTCTTGCTGTACCTGGTATCCTCAAACAGATCTGTTTTGGGTCTTTTTTCCTCCTATTCTGCTGCTGCTAAGTCACTTCAGTCGTGTCGACTCTGTGCGACCCCATAGACGGCAGCCCACCAGGCCCCCCCGTCCCTGGGATTCTCCAGGCAAGAACACTGGAGTGGGTTGCTATTTCCTTCTCCAGTGTGTGAAAGTGAAAAGTGAAAGTGAAGTCGCTCAGTCGTGTCGGACTCGTAGCGACCCCACGGACTGCAGCCCACCAGGCTCCTCCGTCCATGGGATTGTTCAGGCGAGAGTACTGGACTGGTTGCCATTGCCTTCTCCATTTCCCTCCTGTGGTGAACTCTTATTCTTCTGCTATCATTGCGAAGCTGTAGTTGCTTGGCTACATGTCATGGGTTGGAGACTTGGGAATTTCTTCATGGTTAACCTCATCCCTGGCATGGAAAGTTGTTGGAAGTATAGGTTCTTGAGTTTTTTGAGGATTATCTAGTGAGAATTGGCTTCTGCAGACACTTAGTATGTCTTTTCTCAGTCCTGTCAATTCTGCCCATCTGTTCATCTACTGCTGTCTCCTTTCAAGTTCCTTACCTTATTTTGTTACATTTATTCTTGATTTAGTGGGTTTTAGGTGAAGGAGAAACAAACACATCAATTTATTGTATTTAAGTAGAAATACAGTGGCTCTTGGTACATAGAGTTTCTTCCCTTAGGTTCTACTTTGTGGGCAGTTGGATGGCTCTCAGAGGTTCATGGTTGTACGTTTTTGTTTGGTAATTTAGAGTTCATGTGCCAGTATGCATGTGATTTTGATCAGCAGTTAGAAAATTAAGTAGTTAAAAAAATTTTTTTAATGTCCTGTTTAATTTCAAGGGAAGGATGTTTTTGCAATTCTAAGAAAAAGATTGCTAATGTTCCTGGAAATAGGAGTGCTGCTTGAGCGTCTCTTTATATTCTCCCCATTTTATGCATGTTTTGCCACATTGATGCAGTAGCTAGTATTTGTGTCAGAATTGTTTGAGGATTGTAGCTATTTTTGTAGTTTAATTTTAGATTGATCCTCTTTTTCTTTTTTGGTGGTTTTTAAGAAGTGGGAATTAAATATACCTTTATTCCTTTCTTTTAAAATGTATTTAATACGTTGTGAAAAAACTGCTCAGAAACACATATTCCATTTAGGAAGTTGAGTACGAGGATTACGTACGCATGCCAAAGCCTTTTCCTCTCCAGCAGAGCTCTGCATGAGGTATGACTCTACTTTGACTTGAGTTGCAGTGGGTTTCATTCCCATCAAGACGCGAGGAGGAGAGTGTCTGTAAGAGCACACATACACTAGAAGTAGAAAGCTACCACAATCTGGGTCAACGTTGAGGGACTTTTTTTTCTTTCCCACCACCCTTACTTCTTGTTTCTCACAGCGCTTTGCTCCTGTCTGCACATCTGCTCTCAGATCTCCATGTGAGCTGTTTTCCTGTGCTTGCTGATAGTTTTTCTCCTGTAAGTTCAGCCTACACATGACCCAGAATAGATACCCCACTGCGGTCTCTTAACTTCACGTGCCCTTTTTGCTTCAGCTGTCTACAGCTGACCCATGACCCTCTTGCTGTTTCTTAGTCACATTTTCAAGAAAAACGAATTGGCTCAGGCCATCTTTTTGTGCCACTTCTGATTAGTTGTTCCTCACCAGGCTATAAATGGACTTTATCAGTTCACTGATTATGCAGGTTGGGGATGTTGGAGGAGAGAGCAGTAAGTAGGTCTACAGGGAAACAGCAAGGACCCGTGGATGAACAGTTACCCTTGGTAAGTGAGGGAGCAGGATAGAGCTGAATTCATAACATATTCCCTCCTTCGGTCTGCCAGTTTATTTTTAATAGAGTACTTCTGGCAAGTACTTAATGCAAATTGAATATTGTAGGAAACTAATGTTTATGTCAAAATTGACTAAGAAATCTGCCATTTGGTGCTGTTTTCTGTTTGCCTTGTGACTTGTGGTATGGCAATAAGTCCAATATAGTAGGAGTCAGGAGCCTTAGATTCTAGACCTGACTTTGCTGTTCCATGAAAGGCTTCACTTTTTTCAACAGATACATTTTTTTTCATTTATTTTTATTAGTTGGAGGCTAATTACTTTACAATATTGTAGTGGGTTTTGTCATACATTGACATGAATCAGCCATGGATACAGATACATTTTTAAAAGGTCAGTGGAATAGAATAGTTTGTAAGGTACTATCTAGCTATAAAATCTTGCAACTCAAATTGTACTGTACCAAGCTGGGAAAGGTACTGTCAGGAAAGATGGTCAGAATACAAAGCTATTATAACAAAATTGTAAGTTCAGATTAATGAAAAAATAAGAAATGAAAATGATTGGACCCACACATTAGAAAAGGATACGAAAGTTTTGTAGTGAATCAGATTCCCTTCACTGAAATTGAATGGTGTTCATAAACTGATTTAAATCAGATACTATAGTCACAAACTCTTTTCCCAACTTAGGTAGTGTAGGTAGTGTATTAATGTGCGTGTAATACTGAAGATTGAAATGCTTTTTCTTCCTTTTTTAAAAAGCAAGGCTGGATATTTAAAATTGTTAAGTAACATGGATTTATTTTATTTTTTAGGATTTAAGTGCCCTGTATGCTCAAAATTTGTACCCTCAGATGAAATGGATTTGCATCTTGTGATGTGTTTAACAAAGCCAAGAATAACCTATAATGGTAAGTCCAGTGCTTTAAAATGATGCTTTAAATTATCATTGTAATTAGATTTCATAAAATGTATTATGAATTTCATGTTTCAGGTAGAAGTTAAAAGGCCAGGAGGAACTGTCTCTAAGCCCTGAGCTAACTGATACCCTGATTAGGTCTGGTACTTTGGCCGTGTCATTCTTACCTGACCACAATCTCCAGATATTCAAAATCATAGGAGAAATTTTCAGTGTAGTCTTAGTACATTTTGAAGTAGACTTGGGGAAAAACAAGAGTAGTTCATTTGTGACTTCAGATGAATAGAGTGACATAAAGGAAGAACGAGAGCTTTTTTCAAAATTTTATTGATAAAAAGACTTCAAAATCCGTGGAGAAATTTTATTTATTTATTTTTTTATTTTTATTTTTTTCATTTATTTTTATTAGTTGGAGGCTAATTACTTTACATCATTGCAGTGGTTTTTGTCATACATTGAGATGAATTAGCCATGGATTTACATGTATTCCCCATCCCGGTCCCCCCTCCCACCTCCCTCTCCACCCGATCCCTCTGGGTCTTCCCAGTGCCCCAGGCCCGAGCACTTGTCTCATGCACCCAACCTGGGCTGGTGATCTGTTTCACCCTAGATAATATACGTGTTTCGATGCTGTTCTCTTGAAACATCCCACCCTCGCCTTCTCCCAGAGTCCGTGGAGAAATTTCAGATTTTTCAAATGTAAAATTTGGTTTGAAATAGAATGAGTAAGAAGAGTACCAGTAAACAGTGAAGCCAGTTGAAAGACTGACTCATTGATTAGCAAATGTGTTTTGAGTACCTGTCACCTGTGAGGCATATAGTGTTAGAAACTTGGGATATACCAGTAAATAAAACAGATGGATCCTACAGCCTAGAATCAACCAAAGGTGCATCAGTGTAGTAACACTTAGTCAGTAATCTGAGATTTCTCCTCAGATTATAGAAACTTGTAGGAGTACAATTTACTATTGAAATGAACATGTTATTTTGAGTAGCTTTCTTGCAAAGTGGTTTAGGAATGTCTCTCTTGATAAGATAGTGCTTCAGCCCCACTATTATAGTAGTAATTGAGCACTTTCCCCCATTTTCCAGTGAATAAATAAAAATAGCTTTTAGCATTTTCTTTGAATAGTATATGTACCTGTTGAATATACTTTTTTGCATTAGGAAATTGAGTTGGCTACTTTGCATAATCTAATTGAAATTTAGTTATTTAAAAGACAGGTTCAAAATTTGAGATAAAATTGATTGGGCTTGTTCCTCATACTTATCTTATAATTCTCCTCCATAATTAGTATGTTTATTACAAGTGTTTTTAAAATGAATATCCTTAAATGTTAAGACTCTTGCCTTGAATTTTAAAAGAAAGTGTATTTCCTTTTACCATATAATATATTTGCACATAATCTTACTATTCTGTTTATTTTTTGTGCAGTATATTTGGATATAGTTGTCTTACTTGTTGGTATTTGGCAGTTTTTAATTTCCTGGTTGAGCTGTGCCTGGGACATTAAAGTGTTCTAATAGATCACTTATTTGGTGGCTTAAAGAACAGTGTATAACCTTCTGTTTGGGGATACCTTGATCCAAGAATTCAGATTTTAAATATATGAAATTATTCCAGTTTAGACATTAGTAAACTTAATGGAAAAAGTAAAATAAAGTTTCAGCCACTTTTAAGAAGAGGTACCTACTGTAAGGTAGGTAGGCCTGAGAATTTTTAAATTGTTAAATATGTATGGTTATCTATAGAAATTCACAAGAAGCGAAAACAGCTTCTTTATAAACATATATGATTCTTGAATTTTTAAAATGTGGACAGTGGTCAACTATGAGTGAAAAGAAGGAAGAACTGTGATTGACTGGTTTAGGTTAGATAGAGGTAGCAGATTGGTAATGTACTCTCCCCTCACAGGCTGTGGGAATTCTAAGGCAAAGGCCTGTAGGGGAAGGAAAAAATGATTCCCTTACCCTTCTGAGTTCTTGACTGAGACCTCGGTAATAAAAGACATATGAATAAGAGGAAAACAAAAGTTTATTAACATGTATACCTCCTGGGTTCATAGAAGGTATTCCTGAGAAAATGAAAACTCCAGGGTGACTTATAATGTGGGCTTAATAACATCTTCAGCTGCAGACAAAGAAGAAAGTGAGGATGGGGAGGCCAGTTGTGGAGGATTACCAGGAAAATCATGATAAACAAGGTTTGTTACGCAGGTATAAGTTAGTGCCGTCTCCTTCTCTTGTAATCTGTGATTTAGAGCCCTCCTTTTTCTGGAACTGAGGAGACATCCTGGCAAATGAAGAGCTCCTCTGCTCAATCTTATGTAACAGCCTAAATGGGAAAAGAATTTGAAAATCCTTCTTGTTTTGTGTAGTAACTTTAAAATTTAGCATGTATTTATATAAGAATAAGAATATATATAAGAATAAGATGATGGATCAGAAATGGTCATACAAGAAACAGTCTTATCCAGTTACCAAAATTGTATACCTATTTTATGTGGCACTAAATTCAGTTTTATTGCCCTTCTTTTAGCATGTAGCTGCTCAAAAGCAGTACCAGTTTGCAATTAAAATGCTATAAAGAACAATGATACTTAGTACAAAGTGTAATCTTTAAGTTCAGCTTGCTGAGTTCAGATCTCTGTTTTATTACTTAATTCCAGTGTGTAATCTTGGTTTTAATTTTCTCTCCTGTAAACTTAGGACTGGAAATAGCACCTGTCTTCATAGAGTTACTGTGAAAATCATACATACTTTTTTGTAGGTTTTGTAGTGAGTGTTAAGTAAACAAGACCTGTTATTACAAAGAAATATTACCTTTAACTTTAAGAGGTAAAGATATAGTGGATACCATATTTAATGTGTTGACAAATCTAAGTTTCTTTTGATATTTTAAAAGCTCATAGTAAGTTAATTCCAAATGAGATGTCTAAAAGTTTCGCATGACAGTAATAGTTCTTATAATATATGGAGAAGCAAGGAGATGAGAGGATAATTAGAGTACTGCCTGTTCTCACCTGATGTGATAAATTTACAACTGCAATTCAGTGAAAAATACTTTTCCTGCTTTCTATAAGGAATATGGTGGCCTGCATAGCTGAAATCTGAGGTCTTAATTTGATGATAGGCAGTTTGCTTACTCTTTGAAGAAGCATAAATCCTTTCATATTCAGTACAGAAATATTGTAAAAAACTAACTATAAATGGATGTGTGTTTCTGTTACCTTTTTTCCTTCTGCCCTATTATAAAAGAAGATATGTAGAATAGAAGTTGAAATTAAAATACATATTTCGATGAGAAGGCAGTTCTGTAGATCTCTAAAGCATAAAGTAGGTTTCAAGATTTCTGTTTCTGATTTCTTCAATAAAATTTGAGAAGGAAAATTACATCTTTTTTTAAATTTATAGATTCTTATTTTGTTTCATGATTTTATAAATCATTGTCTTGCCTTTTTTTGTGTTCTTATCATATCACTTTTATAATGTTGATTTTTAAAAAATTAATCCAACATTCAAGGTAAGCTTTCCTGAATCATAAGAAACCTGAAGAAACAGAGACAATAAAAAGACTTTTTTTTGGAGTGCAAGAAAACCAAGTAAACCTATAGAACTGTCCTCAGAGGGAAAGTTTTTTTCCTCTGGTCACAGTTCTTACTTTGGTTAGAATGTAGTATTGGCAAACTCACTTTAAACAAATTTTAATGCAAATTTATACAATGCATTTCTAAATTTGTCTCATTTTTATGTTTCTTCTATATTGGAGCAAAGATATGGATCAGCTCATGTTTATCAACAGTTTTGCCCTTTCAAGATTATTGTATGTATATAAATTAGTCTGTTATTAATAAGATTTGGAGAGAAATGGAGGATGTACTTAGAAATAACAACTAGGTAGGTATAGTTTGGGGCAACAGAGAATGATAAGAGAATTGTAGGTGAAAAGATAAATTAGGGCTGAATAATGAAGTTTTTAGATAAATTATGTGTAATTATTTGTATTCATGTGCAAAAATATTTGTAAGGAAAATAATTTCTTTAAAGACCAGTTAGAAGAATGGTATGGTATTTCATGTAGGAAATGGTCAGATGATTGTTAGGTAGAGAAAGAGATAAAGAAAGAATGAATTGAGTTCAGTAATTGCTAGAAATTGGGAAGGAGGAGCCACGGGTGACTTGAGGATTGGCGCTGGAGGACTCAAATTGGAGTAAAAAGATTGTAAGAGTACCTAGCTGCCCTCAACGTTGTTGATCTTTGCAAAATGAGAAAATTGTGAATTTTCTTTTTTTGGATTTTTCCAAAATGAGTAAGGGATTGGGTCACTGAATATTTTAAGGTAACAAAATAATAAAAATATTCCAGATAGTCTCACTCTTTTGGTATCTAAATATTTATGATATTTGTGATTTGCTTGATTTCTTCTATTTTTTGCTTGATAGACTTTGGGATCTCCAGGCTTCTTGACCTCTCAGTACCTCATGAGTTATTGTTACTTAGGATTCTTTTTATCTTAATCACTTTAATCTGTACTTCTTGGTATTCAGTTCTTAGACTTTTCCTTGTAATGCTTTTTGGTGTGAGAGAGCTTTTTACAGCTGAAAAATCTTTGACACCCAGTACCCAAATTTTGGTTTCTAAATGCCATCCTCATGTAAAAAGAAAACAGGATTCCTTGGAGAAATGTCTGATTCCAGGACTGGAGCAGAGAAAGAAAAACCTGGAGATACTGTATTATTTGAATGCAAGGAAGCGCTGAAAAATCAGAAAAGATGAAGGACACAAGAGAAGCAAACCTGAATGAGCTCCCAGTAAACAATTTGAGCAACAGAATTAGTACAGCGTGGAGATGGTGGTTTAGTCATTAAGTCGTGTCTGCCTCTTGTGACCTCATGGACTATAGCCCGCCAGGCTCTTGTGTCCATGGATTTTTCCAGGCAGTAATACTGGAGTGGGTTGCCATTTCCTTCTCCAGGGGATCTTCCCAACCT